TAGAAAAGTGGCATAAATGCCACTCACACTTGCCTCTTGCTTGTCCTCAAGCAAGGAAAAACTAAAGCAATAAGAAAACACACACAACAAACATAATATGACATGGATTAAGAAAGTTAATCAAGTTTCATGGTGGGAAATGCTCCAAATGGACACGAACATAGGGACATGTATCAAAGAATGCTTACTTTTCTCAATTCAAAGAGGGGGAACACGTTCTAAAATGCTCATGGTTGAAGAAGACAAACCTAAGCTAAGCATAGAGAACTAATGATTTCATCCTCCGCCCTAACCCCAACCAAGACGGTCCACATTCTCTCCACTAGCTTCAAATCATCCCTAAGTTAGCTCCTCATGATTCCTCGAGGGAACCGGAAAAAGAAATTTTTATGTGGAATCATAAGGTCATCCCGACATCTCCCTCCACCGTTCTTTGACCATGCCCCTCTAAAGTCCAAGGGTCTTAGCTAGGGTTGTAATGTCATGGCTAGGGTTCAAGGCTAGGAATAAATTTGAAAATTTTGGCAATTCCTAAGTGAAGCATAAGAGTGGCCATCTCTCAAGAACATCCTAAGAATTAAACCAAGTCTCAAACTTACAACCTTTCTAAACAAATCAATACAACATTACTTTATTCCTTTTCATTTCCTTCACATATTTTTATTTTTTTTTAATTTTATTTTTTGCTTGGTTTTCATGAGTTTCAACTTTCTTGCCAAACCTTTTCATACTCTTTTCATGAATAATCCTTCAAAACCTTACTTGAACCAAATTACACAACTTTCTTGCTCAATTTCAACATTATCAAACTCAAACCTCGCAAGCCAATGCTTCACTAACTACAAGGGCTGGTACAACATAGGCCGCTAGGTTTGTAATATGGCTAAGTCAAGAAAGGGGAAATAAGGCTCAAAATGGCTAGCAAGAGGGTGAATACAAAATGAAAACCAAATTTGTAAAAAAACACAAAGAGACAAAGAATAATGAGAAGAAACGCCCTCTTCCTCCTTTAGAGTTATATGGTCACGATCTCGGGAGCTAGATGCCAACACAAAGATTAAGATATGCATAGTCACGGATCCTAAATTCCGCTCACAAGTGTGATGAAGGCTAGAACAAATGACGCTCACACGGGATGAGAAACAAGAAAATACCAACCAAGGGAATCCTATTCACCACAGAGAGCAACACCATCTTACCACTTTCCCGTGAACTAGGGGTTTAAATGTCCTCAAAATTTCTAAACCGGGCTACCTTAGCTTACAATGTGTCTAATTCAACCCTAAGCATTCTCAAACCGTGTAAACCCTCATTAATTAGGAAAGTAAGCATTCAAAGTCATGTGATCAAGTAGGCACACAAATCCACAAATCCAAATGTATAAGCAAATCCACATCAAAAATATTTCAACTTGTCATGATCATGTTTGTCACAAAAAAGAACAAGAAAAACACACAAAAAGAAGGTGGAAGAAATTAAAAAGGTTCATAAACGAGGCATATAATCCAAGTAAATCCCAATCGTCATACAAGTGATCGTTGATATCAACAACAACGATCCTAGGTTCTAAAGAACCAAAATCAATCATCCTCGAACCATTCAACTCCTCCTAAACTAAACCTAAACTAAGCACTCAAAGAAAAAAAAGAAAGGAAAAAGGAAAGGTCTTGCCCGAATGTCTCTTAAAGAAAGATAAAGCAACCAAACCATTTACCAAAGGTCCAAAGCTCCAAATGTTGCTTCCATCGATATTCAAAGCTACAAAAGAGAGAGAGGAAAGAAAACAAAAGCAAACACTAGACAAAGAAAAAGAGTTAGTAGAACGGGGAAGAAAAACAAAAAGCTAAAAACTTGGCCCATGGACAAAACTAACTACCAAAAGCATCATTAAAGACATCATCATCATCATCATCAAATGCACTACCACACAACAATAACAAGCTAGAACAATAAAGAAGCTAGACCACCCGACGCTTAACAACAAAAATACCCAACAAAAGCTTTTAAAACCTTCCCACGAGTCTTGGTGCCTTCCCTCACACTGACTCAAAATTACTCCCTTTTGATTCAAACAACCCCCCACACTATATAAGAGCATCGTCCTCGATGCTTCACATGCAAATAAAAAGATAAGGGAGGGGCTAAAAGGGGAGGGGGAGACATGCATACCAATGGGGGAAGTAGTGGCCACTAGGGCCGGTACCATCATCCCTAGGGGGGTACGAGGGGGGCCATGAGGCTCCCACCCTCTGGTGTAACTGGGGGGAAACCCATAGTGACCTCTGGTAAGGTCAAGCTGGGAGGGGGTCAACAGGTCAAAGGGCTCGGGCTGCACACAAGGTGCGGGGTGATCGGGGTAAACATAGTGGTAGCCAAGTTCACTCCTATAGTCACTCCCACCCTAGACTCGGTAATCATAGTGACCGGACTCGTCGGGAAAGTTACGCCTAGGCACATCGGGGTTCTCAACACCCGGCCAAAAGGGGTACGTAGGAAGGTTGTCACCATTCCATGAAGCCACATGCCCTTGTTCGACCGGTGTATATGGATAGTTGACCGGAGGGGTGACCTCCCCCCTACGCACACTCAAGTCATATAAGGTGTTGGTTTGAAAAGCATTTTATTGGTAGGAAGCGTACATACCTTGAATGCAAAGTTGCATGTTCTCCATTTGAGCTCTTATGCTCGCAACGTCTTGTTGGAAGTCGGGTTGTTGTTGATGTTGTTATTGTCGTTGTTGTTACCTTCTTCTTCTCCCTTGTTGTTGTTGTTGAAGTTGTTGTTTTTTATCCGCTACATCCTCCTCCTCTTCTCCTTCCATTACTATCACATCATCCTCCTCAAACACCTCCTCCAAATCCACCTTTACATTGTTGGGGAGGACACCCAAGTCCTTCCTCACCCACCAAGGGTGTTGGGCTCCCTCTCTTGTATGGGAGGTGTAATCCGGCCTTGGGAGGAAAGAATGGTGCTGGAGGGATACAAGGAGACTCCAAATTTCCTCGACCCCTTTAATACCCCTGATGAACTACATTGTCTTGAGTTGCTTCTCATCATGCAAAATATCGCTTCCATCCCCTTTCCCTACTATGGTGCATGATCTCAATTTCTCCTCATGGCCACACTTTATGGCTAACCTAGTCACCATAGCTCCACAATGGATCTTCCCACTCTTGTTTCCCGTGACAATGGCCTCGATGCATTGGGTGAAGATGAATCCCAAGTTAACTCTATGCCCAAAATCCGGCCTCGATGCAAGCCAAAGGATCCGAATTTCTTCCAAAGTTATCTTCCCCAAGTCTTTCTTGTTGAAGACCATGTACCCAAGTATACAGTGAAGCAATCTCAAAGCGGGGTGCATGATCTCACTGGCTAAAGAATACTTTGCATCAAAATTGTTGCTTCGGGAGATATGCTTTCACCATCGCCAGGGGTTGTAGCTCGGGAGTTGGACATATTCTGGTAAGAGGATGTCAGCATTGGGGTTGAGATTGAGGTATTTATTGAATTTGTGGAGGGACATTGATTCCTTATTATTAAAGAGTTGGAAGGAAACGAAGATGTTGTTGTTTCCCGAGGTGTGTTTCTCAAAAGAGGCGAGAAACTCCAAGGTGGGTTCTCGGTATGTGTTGTAGGCCTTTGAGAAAAAATTGTTTAGCCCAAGATTGTTGAAGAAGAACCAACACTCTTCATCAGTCCCAAGTTTGGTGGTTATGGTTTGATTGTAGTGTTTGGTGGGAAGGAGTTTTGTTGATTGGAGGGCATCAAAGTTGGCTTTATGGTTTCGATTGGAAAATTTGGTTGGAGGCAAAGGTGGAGGGGGTTCCACATTTTGAGGGGTTTGTGAAGATGAACCTTGTGGCTCCTTTCCACTCTTTCTCTTTTTTGAGCTAGTTCCAACCTCCATTTTTCTTTTTTTCTTCATCTCAAGAAATCAACACCAAAACCTTACTCCAAAATCAACTAACAACCCTTAAGTAACACCAATCAACTACCACAAGCAATATACTTCACAAGGAAACACAAATTAACCAAGAAAATAACAAATAATTCCAACAAACAACTCACAAAACAAATCAACCAAGAATTAGAACAATACTAACAACAAAATTCACCGAATCACACATGAAAAATTCCCCAGCAAAAATCACAAAAATTTATCATGAAATTCATCCAAAATTGCAAAATAGTTCAATAAAAACTAGAAAGGAGAGGATTCTACCAACAATGAAGCTAAGAATCACCTCCAACTAGCCTCTAAGAACATGAACTCCATAGGTGCTCCAAGGAGTAACAATGGTGGAAATTAAATTTTTTTTTGGATTTTTGATGATGGAGAATGAAAATTGTTGATGAATTTGATGTTTTGAGAAGGAAATTTGTGGGATTTAGGATGGAAATGAAGGAATTTGATGAGATTTTGGTAGTTAGGATTGGGGTTTTGGGTTTTTTCCAGAGAGAGAGAGTGAACAAGATAGTCAAATAATAGAGGAAATGAGGTACGGTGCTACAATTTTTTCGAATAAAGGGGGGGCGAAACCTAGAAGGCCGCGCCCGCGGGTGTCGAAGCTGTCGCGCCCGCGGTCTCCTGTGTCGCGCCTTCTCCAGGGGCGCGGCCAGGAATCTACCGAAAGAATCCATTTTCTCCTCTTCCACCGGCCGTGCCCTCTCCTTCATAAGCCGCGCCCGCGGTCTCCTGGAGAGGGCTTTCCTTGGCCGCAGCTTCACTCTATCTTGCACATTGAATTTTTTTGTTTTTCTTGCTCTCTTAATTCAAACATAGCTCGATAAATACCATCATTTGACCTCCAATTCCCGACCATACATGCACCATTGGGCAAGTACCTACAAGTAAAAATTAAATACCATAAGACAAAAAAAAAAACAACCAAACCGACCTCAAGGAAGAAAAATAGAGAGGAAAAGAGTTAGGAACTCGGGTTTCCTCTCGAGAAGCGCTTCTTTATGAGGTCACTAGCTTGACCATGAGAAAAATTCATTCAACGTGGTGGCGTAGGACCCAAAGGGTCAAGCCTTAGACACTCAATTGGACCAACTTCTTTTTTGCAAAAATAATGCTTCAAACGATGACCATTGACCATGAACTTGTTCCCATCCGTATCTAACTCAAAAGAACCATCAGGAGTAGTCTTCGATACCACAAAAGGCCCCAACTACTTAGACTTGAATTTACCCGGAAACAAACGACGCCTTGAGTTGAAGAGCAATACCTTATCTCCAACTTTAAAGCTCTTTTTCCGAATATGTTGGTCATTCCATTTCTTAGTCTTCTCCTTATACATTCTTGAGCTCTCATATGCATCATCCCTAAGCTCTTCAAGTTCATTGAGCTTCAGCAATCTCTTCTCACCTGCCAAAGACAAATCCATATTATGCTCTTTGATAGCCCACCAAGCTTTGTACTCCAATTCAATTGGCAAGTGACAAGCCTTTCCATAGACCAACCTGTAGGGGGTTGTGCCGATTGGAGTCTTGTACGCCGTCCTAAGAGCCCAAAGTGTGTCATCGAGCTTGAGAGACCAATCTTTCCTTGATTTGTTCACCATCCTCTCAAGTATATTTTGTTTTCAAGATTCGAAACCTCCACTTGCCCTTGAGTTTGAGGATGGTAAGGTAGACCAACTTTGTGATGAACCCCATATTTCTTAATAAGAGCCTCCAATTGCTTCTTGGCAAAATGAGAACCTCCATCACTAATTAGAACTCTTGGGACCCCAAATCTAGGAAAAATGATCTTCTTGAGAAGCTTGAGCACAACCTTGTGATCATTGGTAGGAGAGGGTATAACTTCAATCCATTTTGTCACATAATCAACTGCTACCAAGATATACAGATTCCCACATGAATAAACGAAAGGCCCCATGAAATCCACCCCCCAAACATCGAAGGGTTCAACTTCTAAAACACTTTGTTGGGGCATTTCGTCCCTCTTGGTAATACCTTCGCTCCTTTGACATCTATCACATTACGCAACGAATTTGTGGGTGTCTCTATGCATTGTCGGCCACCACAATAAAGATTGAGAGATTTTTGCCACTGTTTTGTCAACACAACCATGTCCTCCACATGGTAGTGAATGGCAATGCTCAAGAACTCCTTCGATTTCATGATCTGGAATACACTTCCGAAAAAGGCCATCTCCACATTGCTTAATAGGTATGGGACATTCCAAAAGTACCTCCTCACTTCCTTAAGCAACCTCTTCTTTTGTTGAGAAGAAAACTCCGGGGTAACGACTCCACAAGCAAGATAGTTGGCTATATCCGCATACCAAGGGGTAGAAGTTGACACCATAGCCATGAGAGTCTCGAATCCTATCTCATCATTAATCGGTACATCCTCCTTGTTCTCAAAAGGTATCCTAGACAAATGATCCGCTACATAGTTCTCTGCTCCCTTTTTGTCCCTCATTTCCATGTGAAAGTCTTGGAGATAGAGAACCCAACGGATCAAGCGAGGCTTTGCTTCTTTCTTGGTCATGAGATATCGCATCGTGATGTGATCCATGTACACAATAACTTTTGAGCATATAAGATAGGACCGAAACTTATCAAATGCAAACACTCTCGCTAGAATCTCTTTCTCCGTTGTTGTATAATTCTTTTGAGCTTCATCGAGAGTCCTACTTGCATAGTAGATGACACATGATTTTCCTTCTTTCTTTTGACCAAGAACGTCACCTACTTCATAGTTATTAGCATCGCACATTGGCTCAAAAGGCAAGCTCCAATCCGGAGCATGCACAACGGGAGAAGAAATGAGAGCTTCCTTGAGCTTACGAAATGCATCAAGGCAAGCCTCATTGAAGCTAAAAACAACATCCTTTTTGAGTAATTCGGTCAAAGGTTTGGCGATTGATGAAAAATCTTTGATAAACCTCCGGTAAAAATCGGCATTCCCAAGAAAAGCTCGTACCCCGTGATGGAAATAGGAGGGGGAAACTTTTCAATTACCGAAACTTTGGCCGGATCAACCTCAATGCCATTTTTTGAAACCTTATGGCCGAGGACAATGCCCTCCTCGACCATGAAGTGACATTTTTCCCAATTCAAAACCAAACTCGTCTCTTGACACCTTTTCAAAACTTTTCCAAGGTTAAAAAGACAAGTGTCAAAAGACGAGCCACCAACACTAAAATCATCCATGAAAACTTTAATTTCTTTTTTAAGCATCTTAGAGAAAATAAAGGTCATGCATTTTTGAAAGGTGGAAGGAGCATTACATAATCCGAATGGCATTCTTCGGTATGCAAATGTCCCATATGGACATGTGAAAGTACTTTTCTCTTGATCGCTTGGATGGATAGGGATTTGGAAGAATCCGGAATACCCATCCAAGAAATAAAAGAAAGCATGTTGAGAGAGCCTCTCAAGAATTTGGTCCATGAATGGGAGAGGAAAATGATCTTTCTTAGTGTTTTTGTTCAATCTGCTATAATCAATGCACATTCTCCACCCGGTCACCGTCCGGGTGGAGATTTCCTCTCCTCCTTCACCTTTTATTATGGTCATCCCACCCTTTTTTGAAACTACATGAACTGGGCTAACCCATTTGCTATCGGAGATAGCATAGATGATGCCCGCCTCACGTAGTTTCAAAATTTCTTTCTTCACAACCTCTTGAAGGTTGGGGTTCAACCTTCTTTGAGGTTCAATGGAGGTGGAATGATCATCTTCAAGATAAATACGATGCATGCATAAAGAAGGGATAAAACCTTTGATATCATCAATTATATACCCTATCACATCCTTATATTTTCTCAAAACATCAAGAAGTTTTTCCAAATTAAGACCATCTAGGGTAGCATGGACAATAATAGGGTATTTTCCCTCCTTATCAAGAAAAGCATATTTCAAAGAAGGGGGAAGGGGCTTGAGTTCTACCTTAGGAGGAGGCTTAGAACTTTCCTCCAATTTCCTCCTTGCACTAAAGCTCGATCTCAATTTGTTGTTCCACCTCCTCCTTTGAGGATTCCTCCATTGTCATGAAAAACTCTTTAGCCTCTCAAGAGTGGAACTCTTCTTTACATGTAAGAGCTTCTATCATCAAATCTTGAGGCCTCATCACCACCCCCCCCCCCTCATGCGATCTAGCTCCTCATTCATAACATCAACTCTATAGCATTTTTCAGCTATGGGGGTCTTGAGCAACTTAGAAAACTCAAAGACAATCTTCTCATCGGCCACCTCACATGTGATGGTGTTGTTCTTGCAATTGATGACCGCCCCCAAAGTTTTAAGAGCTTCACATCCCAAAGTAAAAGGAGTGTTAACATCTTCCTCCATATCGATCACTACAAAGTCACAAGGCACGTAGATGTGTCCCACTTGAATTGGTACATCCTCAAGCTCTCCACAAGGTAATTTCACCGACCGATCTGCCAATTGAATTGTCTTCGTTGTAGGGATCATCTCTATATTGAGTTTTTGAGCAATGGATAAAGAGATTAAACTAACACTTGCTCCAAGATCGGCTTAGGTGCCCCTAGCTTCCATGTTCCCAATTTTCACCGGCAAAGTGAAACTTGGAGTAAGATGGAATTTGTGTCACAACTTCACCGGGTCTTTTTCCTTCTTGGGCATCTTATGTTGGGCAAGAGCACTCACTTGATTTGGAAGGGGTGATACGATCATCATTGATCTTCCTCTTGTTGGTGAGAATATCTTTGAGGAACTTGGAGTAAGATGGAATTTGTGTCACAACTTCAAGAAAAGGGAGGTTGATATGCAAATTCTTCATGACACTAAGAAATTTGCAAACTTGTCATTCAACTTCCTCTCCGCAAGCTGACCGAGAAAAGGAATCGGTCCATGAAGATTCATAGCCTCACTTGGAATTGAAGTTTTCTTCTCATTGTCAAGCTTCTTCTTCTCTAAACCTCCTTCTATCTCATCATCCTTTCCTTCTCACCTCCCTCGTTTTCATTCACACTCTCCTCTCCTCCCTTCTTTTCTTCACTATCCCCTTCATTTGTCCCTTCATCGGAAGTTCCCGACCTCAATGTGATCGCCTTGCATGTATCGGGTTTTGAGTTGTGAGATGGGTTAGGTTGTGGTAGTCCGGGTAGAGTTGATGGTGAATTGAAAGGACTTCTCTCGGCCAATTGAGCTAGTTGTGAATCAACCATCTTGTTGTGAGCTCTTATCTCTTGCATTTGTTCCCCAAAAGACTGCATTTGCGCATGCATGGTTTTATTGTTGTATTGGTTGTTCCTTGTATAGCTTCCTCTTGGGTTTTAGGGTTGAGATGGAGGTGGATTTTGATATTGAGGGTTGGAGTTGTAGGAAGGTTGAGCTTGTTGGTTCCATTGTTGAGGTTGAGGTACAAACCCGGGTTGTGGTTGTCTCCAAGCTCCTCCACCGCCGCTTCCTCTAAATCCCTCTTGCCTTGTGTTGTATGCCGCTACATGCTCGAGGCTTAAACCTCCACAATAAGATGTATCGTGGTTCGTTCCTCCACAATTTTGACAAGAGAAAGAGTTAACTTGAGAGGAGCTTGCTCCACCGCTTGAACTTGCATTCACACTCGTGTTCAACTTGGAAAGCCCTTTTGTTAGTTGATCAATTTGATGTTGTAATTGATCAACTTTCTCTAATTTGTAAATACCACCTTTCTTTGGAGCATTTCTTCTTCGGCCCCCAAGAGTAACTCTTTGCTACCTCTTCTATTGTGGCTTCAACTTAATTTTGAGGGATTTTGATTAATTGACCACCCGCCCCCACATCCAAATTGGCACTTGACATGGGATCCAATCCGTCGTAGAAAAACTACATGAGCAACCCTTGATTGTACTCATGGTGGGGACACGCTTGTACCAACTGTTTGAATCTCTCACATGCTTCACCAAGACTTTCATCGGCTTCTTGCTCAAATGATGCGTTTTTCCTTCTCATTTCGGCGGTCTTCTCCTCGAAGATAAATCGCTTCAAGAACGCGTTTACCACCTCCCTCCAGGCCATGTTGTGAGAGTGTTAGGCTTTACATGTTTTATCCATTTCTTTGCTCGTCCGGTGAGAGATTGCCGGAAAATGTGCGTACAAATGTAGTCTTAACTCACCTCATTGGTTTGCATCATTGCGCACAATTCAAGGAATCGGTCCAAATGTTCAATAGGGTCCTCACTTGCACTTCCAAAAAATTGCTCTGATTGGACCATTCTAGTATATTGTGGATGGATTGAGAAGTTGGTTTCTGTGACGGGTAGCAAAATCCCTCCCGTGAGCTCATAATCCTCTGAATTTCCAAACTCACGAAATAAAACATCATTTTCTTGTCCCGCCATTCGTCTGCTTTGTGAACTTAAAGAGTAAGTATCACTCTCACTATCAACTATATCACCAAACCTCATCCCTCGTCTTGATAAAGCCTACGGACTTGTCTCAAGGTTCGGTTGATCTCGTGGTCAATTTGATGTAAGGGTCCTCCTTGAGACCTCCTAAGAATTCACCAAAGGTAAGAAAACAATTAGAAAAGACAAGGGTGATAAAACAAATAAAACAAAAAGAAAAGAAAGTAAAAGGACTCTAACAATAGCAATAATAGACGCTAAACAAGCCGTTTCCCCGGCAACGATGCCAAAATTTAATCAAGGGTTAGATAGGTCGTTAAGCTAATAACCTAATCAAATTAATCATTTATAATACCTAAACCTACACTAAACTAGTTAGTGGCAAGAAAAGGGTCGAACCACTAGGGAAGCACACTAATTCAACATCAATAATCACTAATGCAAGAGTAAAAAGGGGATTGTTTTTGTTGGTTTTGTTGAGTAAGAACACTAAAACTACAAATAAGCAAGAAAATGATGATTAAAATGCAGGGAAAATGACTCTAGGGATACGGGGGTGTCCAATATGATTAGAA